TCATGGTCATTCCATCCTGACATGTAAGAAGATTCAATGAAAACACAGGCATTTGGAAATCCACATTTCAGAGTTTAGCTGGGAGAAGCTTGATCATGAAAATGTCCTTCCCTATTTGCATCCAGCAAACTTTGAATCAGGAAGACATTCTGGGTTTTCTGTGTTGTTGGGAAGATTTCCACAAAGCATATTAAAACTTTAGAGAAGAGTTTGGGGCACATTTGCTTTGGAGGACTGGATGAGAAAGCAAGGAGTTTACTCCATCACCCATAGAACTAAAGGTGAGAGAGTAGCAAGACTCCAGTTCACCATAATAATAGAGACAGGCTTCTGAGCTAAGGGTTAGGAGAGAAAAGAGAGAGCATGGCACCTGAGAGGCAGAAAACCTGGACTTGAACTATGGCTCTAAGTTTTGCAGAACTATTTCATAGAAAGTTACTTTCCATCTTGAGTTCCAGTGTCATCATGTGTTAAGTGAGATTATAATCATTTTCTCATAGCATTACTGTAAAGACAGAATGAAACAGAGAGTAGGAAAACTCACAGCACATGGTAAATAGTAAGTGTCGCATTAGTGAATCCATCTTGTTTAGAGCTTGTGAAGATGAGGATATGAACTCTGTTTAGTCTCTGAGTTTTATATAACTGTTCCTCATCTCAATCAGTAGACCTGGATGAATGTCAGAAAGCTGATGTGTTCTGTCTGATTGATCTTCTTTGATTGACGTTATCTATCTTGTGATTTTCAAGTTAGAATGTTATATCCAGTCAAACTATCCATCAAAGTGGTGAGGTAAAAGTAAAGACAGATTCCAACACGCAAGGACTCAAAGTGTCTATCAATAATGAACTCTTTCTTAAGGAGTCACTGCAGCTTTTCACAGTGTGCTCTGGCAAACCCTATGACTTCGGACTGAAAGCCTAAAAAACGTGTGTAATTATTCTGGTCACTTGTCCTATCAATCCCATGCTGGAGAGTACTGTAGATCCTTTCCTTTTGTACATTATCCCTTTCCCCTTCTCTGGCTGCTGTCTGTGAGCACCTGCAGAACCAGCACAGGCCAGAGAGAAGAGGAGAGAGTTTGGCAAAATTCTTGATTCTCTTCATTCAATGCCCACTGTACTTGGCAGAGGTCCCAATGATCCCTTTGAAGGAAGTACTTTGGTGGGTCTTCAGGCCTCTGGAAATTGAGGGCTTGACTTCACTTCATTGGGCAGAGGTGGTTGTACCTCAATATGACTGTTTATGATCACTCCTCAGCCCTTTCCTCTGGGGTTCGCCCTTAGTGGAATCACCCATCATAGGTATGACCTCCTGAAAACAGCCCAGCTTGGGCCTCCTTCTGTGGGTCTAGGCTTAGCTCTCAGAAAGCTTAGTATCATGATTCATCCAGAACTCCCACAGCCCTATGAATCCTGGGGATGACTGGCCTCTGCCTCAGAGCCCTTGAGTGGGTGTCAAATAGTAGTGCTTGTGGCCCTCAAGCCTAAGAGATGATGCCTCCTATGGCTTGTATATGGAATATCCCCCAAAGCCCATATATTGGGGTCTCGGCCCCCAGCTTAGTGTTACTGGGTGGTGTGGAACCTTTAAGAGGTGAGGGCCTGGTGGGAAGTCTTCAGGTCACTGGGGGCATGCTCTTGAGGGAGGGATTGTGGGACCCCAGCCTCTTCCTCTTTTATGCATTCAGCTCTGCTCTACCATGAGCTCTTGCCATGATATGCTGCCTTGCCACAGTCCCAAAAGTGAAGTGATGATAGACTGAAACTTCAAAACTGTGAGTCAAAATAAACCTCTCAGGTATTTATTACAATAGTGGAAAACCAACTAACACAATGCTATACATATATCAGTTAACATAAAGAAGGAAACCTCTTTCTCAGGGATGAGACAGGAAAAACGTAGACCACACTTGCTTTAAAAAGTCTCTGTTTTAGAGTTCTGAAACCCAAGTGAATCCTTGGAGTGGGTGATAGCTCTCAAGCTCCCCTTGGTATGTCTGATCTGGTATGTTGCTGCAGTGTTCAGTGTTCTTATTTTCAGTCCATAGAATGCCGCCCAAACTCCTGGCTCTAAGAAAAGGTGTATCTTCTGCCCAGTTTCACAGCCCTCTCCTCTTAACTGGCCACAAAAAGTTCAACCTCCACCAAAGAACATCGGAAAATAGAAGCAACTTTCTTTTCAGACATCTGCATACATGTCTATTGTAGTTTGCCATATACTATTGCAAATATTTTTGTTTTTTCATTTTTTCTTTCTCCATTGCTGAAATCACTGGCTCAGGATTCTGACTAGAGAATAGTCTATAACTCTGTTATAGACCAGAGTGGGTATGTCCTTGTTCCCATCACCTCCACTCCGAGAGGTGGCTTTCAGGTGACCAATCTAAGCTTCTGCAAACGGTGCTATACTTAAGGGATTCTGTTAGGCTATGGAGTACAGTACAGAGAAGATACTTAATGATTAGACCAAATTTCTACTTTTTGGCTCTTCCATTTTTCATTGTTGTGATCCTAGGAAGTCACTTCATCCCACTGAGGCTCAACTTTGCAATCTGAGAAGGGGAGTACCCCAGGTTTGCAGGGCAGAATGTGACAGGAGATACACAGAGTGTCCAATACAGGGCTTGCACGTGGAGCTGCTATTTCATGGAGCTCCACACTCCAGAGGCTCACTCACCACCCTCCAGACCCCCCAGTGCTGACCATACTTTCTATCTCTGACTCCTAATAGAGTAAAGAATTATAGAGTGAAGAATTTTTGTTCTTTCCTTAAATAGACACATGCCCATCCCACCCTTGGTTGTCTGGTTATTCCTCTCTGAACTCTCGAAGGAATATTCATTCTCTCTTGTGATGTGGTAGCCAGAAGGATGGATTCCAGGTACGGGCACCACACTTTCATACCAAAAAGGAACAAGCCTGGGTCATTTTAGAGATTTATAACTGCATCTAAATCTTTTTGTCATATTGTGGCTGATCACTCAGACTGAACCATTTAATGTTTCAAGAGTAGGCTTTTGCACTGGTAATTTCTTTGTTTTTGGTTTTTGGTTTTTGGAGGTACTGAGGTTTGAACTCAGGGCTTGCAGAGTTCACCTGGGGTGCACCTGGGGTTTGTCCCTGTATGAGGGGAGACAGGGACGAACCCCAGGTGCACCCTCCATACCATCACCATTTGAACCCCTTCATGTCCCAGGGACGAGGCAGCAAGGGCTGAGACTGTGGTATGACCAGCCATGGGACCTTAGGCAGAGCCCCTCTTGGACAGGGGACTCAGAGGACGTGGTGTGTGGTGGTGAACACCTGCTGATATGGTTTACATATGGTGTGAGTGTGTCCCACAAGGGTTCACGTGTTGGAGGCATGGTCTCCAGTGTGGTGATGTTGGAAAGGGGTGGGACTTTTGGGGCCTTGGAGGAGGTTGTTAGGTTACTGGGGGAGCTGCCCTTGGTGGAGATTTTGTGGGACTCTGAGTTAATTCTCTCTAGAGGATTAGAAAAAGAGGAACTCTAGCTCCTCCCTGCACTCTGTGATTGCTCCTTTTCCCATGCATTCTCACAGTGGTGTAATACACTATGAGGTGAAGTAGTCAGGGTGGCCCATGTCAGGGCAAGTGCTATGAGCTATGCTTTTTGGACTTTCAGCCTCCAAAACCATGAGCTAAATGAACCTCTTCTCTTCTTAACTACCCAGCCTCAGGCATTTTGTTATAACAGCAAAAGAAAAGACCACTTAGATTCATTATTGCTGCTGACACTGTCTCCCTCAAAGAAATACATGTTCTGGATCCAACCCACCAGCACCTATGGGGTGAAAGGCCTGTGGCAGGTGCAGGAGAGGCAACAGTAGAAGAGATGCCAAGGAACACTTGTGAAGTGTTGTGAGCAAAACTTGGGAGGCTTGAAAAAGAGAACTGACTGAGCATTCACAATGTTTGTCCCCAAATGTTCTAAACAAGGCTGACTGTGGTACTGACACACAGCACTAAAACAAAATGACAATTGTGGGCCTGAGTCTGCGTGTTTCTGTATTGAAATACAGTTCCACTTGCTGCTGCGGACCCCATTGGAGCCTGTCCTTTAGCTGGAGACCTCTAGAGAGGGCCAGGCCCACTGAGGTGGATGGGTGAGAGTCCAGAGGCCACATCAGGGTCTGTGAGCCTGAGGCCAGCCCAGAGCTGCATAAGTCTCTGATCCTGTGGTGGGTCTCTATGTGGCAATGCCCACACTTCCTGTGTCTGGCAAAGACCTTTTCTGGGGATGACATCTTTGCCTTCAAAAGGTTCAAAACAGTAACAAACTAAAGCACACATCCGTCACAATGTTGTGGCCAAAGCCTCTGTGGCCACCCTGCTAGTCTGGCCAGCTATTCATTCCCACACTGGAACATTTGAGCTGAATCTGCAGGATCAAATTCCTCCTAAATGTGCACTGAATGTGGGAAGCCTTTTTGCTGGGAACATGTTCAATGTTCAGAATCCCTCTGGGAAATATGGGGCTAGTTTAATGATTTTTGCTTTCAATGTGACTTGAAGTCACATATTAAATAGCTATTTAGGTATGGAAAAAAACCCAAACTCAGCAGCCAGAGTCTTCACATCCTTACTGTGCAGTGGCAGTGTATGTATGGGAATGATCAGCCCTGCTGGTTCTGGGTGATGAGGCCCGAGGAAGATAGGCAGCTTACATGAACTTATGCCTTTGCCACAGAGAGAGGCATGTGGAGGCTGGGCACACTTGTTCCACCATCCTCCACAACCTCCTATGCATCCTTGCTTAGAATCTAACATTTCATATGTGCATGTGTGAACACGTCACAATGACATGTACAATTAATTAATATGTACTAATTTAAAAAAGAATCTAATGTTTGAAAGCTGCAATCTCTCTTGTCTTTTACAGCTTTGGGGTACCACATTGTGCCTACGCCCTCCCTCCAACACTGTTGGGTGGCTGGGAGCTTGAGGTGACCTTGGGAAGAGGTGGGGTAGCACTTACCCCCCACCCGTGCCGCCGTTCTTGCTGAAGTGCGTGCGTGGCTCGCTGGAGGCCAGCTTCAGCAGCTCGGTCCACTCTCGCTCCCATTCCTCCTCCGTGTACACCAGTCCTGACTGGCGCAGAGGGAAGGTGGTTCAGGAGGCAGTGGACACTGCAGCCTACCCTCGTCTCCTTTCCCTCCCCACCCAGGCAGCCACTCCAGGTCATGCACGTTGATCTAAGCCCCGACAGGATCCAGGCTGGACACATCCGTTAATGACCCCTAAGGGTGCCTCTTTGTTTGGACAGATTTTCAGGAGCCCCAGTGTCTAATGTCAGAGCTGTTGGTTGTCCAGCAAGGGTCATTCCCAAGGGCAGGAATGACCTGAGCAGGCCCATTTCAGGCAGAAAGTAGGCAGATTCTTTTTCTAGGAGAGCGAGGTGCTAATGTTCACTGTGGTTAGGCGATTGGCATTCTTTCTGGATAGAACTTACGTGTGGGCTGGTGGATGATGGGACAGATGCACCTGAAAACTAATTCATTATCCAAGCTGGGACTTTGAGAGTGAGAGGGGGAGGCTTTCCTAATTACAGCAGCATGGGAAGTGTGATGGGAATGTAGCTGCTGTCCACCAGGCTGCTCCTCTGCCATGGGCTTAAATGTGAGAGGCCTCACTAATCCCAGAAGCGGTTTCTGCCTGACCTTACAAGATGGACTGGGACTGGGGCCAAGCTCTGGACTCCAGCATGGCTGGATGCTGCACCTAGTGTAGGTCCTGGGCTCCAGCCAGGTCAGTGGGTACCAACCTCCTTGTTCTGCTGTGTCTGCTGCCACCTCCACCTCCGCTTCAGAGCTTCTCGCTCCGCGCCCGTCCTCATCATGGTGTAGAGTGCTTTCCTCAAAACCAGGTCCCGGTCGTGAAAGCCCCACATCCCTGTAGCCAGGAGACCATGAGCAGAGGAGAAAGAGAGAGAACATGAGAAGGGCAAGTTGGGACCTTTTGGGCTAGCCTACTGCTGTGATAGTCAGTTGTTTGGTTCTCATCGCTAGCATGTAGTTACCCACTCTCCTCTTCCCTCTGCTTCCCATGGCTCAAGTAGATGAATGAAGCCACACATTTCCTTCCTAGCAAAACAACAGAGGGCAAGAAGCAAGGGGCTCCCTGTCTCTGGGACCCATGGCTACCCACCCTCAGCTAGTAGGTTTGCTTTGAGAGACCTAATGCCCGAAATGCAGGTCATGCATCTGGGTAGGAGACTGCATTTGGGGACAAGCTGGTGACATGTCCTCATGTAGTGCCTGTCAGGATGGCTAATAGTATTCTTGCTTCTCTGGGGACTGCTAGATGTAAAATGTCTGAAGTACCAGGGCATCTCAATTTTCTGAGAAGCAGAACACCAGTGGATACCACTGCACACATCAGGGCCAGAAGAGGAACCTGCCTCCTGGCAAGAGGGTGTCTCTGTGCTGGGTGGTGGTGAGGGGCTAAAAAGATAAACCAGACATCTCTAGTACATGGCTCTGGGCAGCTCTGGGGTGGTGAAGAAACAAAGCAGTGGGAGAAGCACTGAAGAGAGGTGCATCCCTGATTCCTAGGGAAAGAAGGAGGGAATTCATTTCTCCATCCATCCTTCCATCCATTATCCACCAATTCATCCACCCATTCATCCATCCATCCTAGGTGCATGGCATAGCAAAGTTCCTAAAATCTCACAGAACACACATTGTAGGAAAGTGAGAAGTGAGTAAGTCATTAAATGAGTACATAATATAAAATGTCAACACTGTAAGGAGAGATGAAGCAGATGAAGACAGAATGGCAGGTGTAGTCATTATGGCATGAATGGATGGAGTCATCAGAACAAAACCTAGAATGGGTGAAGAAGGGAGCCAAGATGATATTCCTGGCAGAGGGAAAGGCCAGGGAAAGGCTCTGACCTGGGGATGGTCCATGTGGAGCACTTGAAAAAGGCAAGAGGAAAAGGTGGCTAGAGCCAGGATGGTGGAGATAAGGCGGAGAAAACAGGCTGGCTTTCAAGTGTGCTTGGAGCTTCTACAGAGTGTGATTGGAACTGACTGTTGTCTGTAGAGGCTCCGCTGTGGCCCCTAGATATGCAGCAACCAAAGACTGCCATGGGCATTGTAGCAGCCCAGGCTTCTGTCTTTCTCTATAGGATGGATAAAGGGAAATGGCCAATGTTGTTCCTTATTCATCCTCAGACCTGGATCAGCTGCCTTCCAAGGACTCTCCAGGAAGCCTCACTACCATGGCTCTTAGTGCCAGTCTCTCATACCCAGAGTCTTCTTGTCCATTCATGTGTGCCTACAGGCCTGACTCTAGGGTTCCTATTATTTCTATGATTATCCCATAATCCTAGTATAACATTAAGTGTCCAGCAAGCAGAGTCAGTGTCTGTCACTTGGCCAATTTGGGCAGACCTGGTCCCGTGGAGTTTAGCTGTGCCAGCACAAAAGAAAACAAAGAACAGGTTGAGTATCCCTTATCTAGGGGCAGGAGTTTTTCAGATTTTAGAATATTTACACATACATAATGAGACATTTTGAGAATGGGACTGAAGTTTAAACATGAAATTCATTTGTTTCCTGTACACCTTATTTATACACATAGCCTGAAGGTAACTTATATAGTATTTTTAATAATTGTGTGCATGAAACAAAGCTTCATTGTGTATAATTTACCACCTGTGGTGCCATGCTGCTGCCCCCAAAATTTCAGATTTTGGCTTTCCAGATGAGGGTTACTCAATCTGTACTGGAATAAAAAGGCTAATGGTCTACAAGTGCTAAGCGTAATGTTCTATGGGGGATTCTCAAAAAAGGCCCTTACAGCCCTGGTGAGCATGGTTCCATCCTGCAGAAGGAACAAGGCTGGAGGGAGTCCTCTCCCCAGACTGAGAGGCCCATCACGCTCCTGGAGAAAATGTCATCTGAAAAATCTGATGACATCATGGCGGTGCGAGGCCTTGCCCACCTGTGGTACTGATAGGGACAGTGACTGTATGTACTGGAGTATCTAAGGGACAGGCCATTTCCATGCCTGAGACCTTTCAACAAAACTGTTGTTTGACATAGACAGGAGATTTCTTCTTTTATATTCTCTCTCCGGGTTTTACATAAAACAAGGTAAAACATATTTAATAACTGTAGAATAGCTAGCACTAAATGTTGTAATGAAACATGTCCCAAATACTGATATCAAGTTTTTTGAGGATAATAGCATGGAAAACTCTGAGTAAAAAGTCTGTACCCCATAAATATGTAGAATTACTGTATCAGCTAAAAGAAAAAAAATTAAGTGGAAAATGTTGGATTCTGAATTGTGAACACAGTAAGGTTAAAACTTCACTTGAGGAACTGATGAAAGACTGGAAGGCCACAGACCAAAATGCTAAAAGTGGCTGGCACTGGGGTGGGACTAATAACTTATTTCTTACCATGAGGAGTATAGAATACTTTTTAATGCCCACACATAGAATGTTCTAGTTTTGTCAAGGAAGGAAGCAGGCAGGTGGATGTCTCTGTTACCTTCGTGACTGCTGTCCAGCATCAAGCCAAGGAACATTCCACTTGCTCTCCATCTCCAATCTCCTTTGGGCCTCCCTAGGCTCTTGTCAGACCTGAAGTATTCCGTCAAAGCCTTTCCAGTCTCATCTCAGCCCATCTCTTGCTGAACAGGTAAAGAGAGGTCTAGGACTTAAGCCTTGCTCTGGGTCACAGGACCTGTTAAGGCCACATTCACCTGGGCATGTGAGTTTGACCAACAAGGATCACATTCTCCTTTGAGGGTCCCGTCCCCTGGATAAAGCCTATACTACAGGACTGATGACAAGCAAAGTGGCCTGCTTCTGGGGGCCCTAGCACAAATGCAGACCTTGCCTGTAGAATGGATTCAGCCTTGTGTGTGTATGGCTGGGCCTAGAGGGGATGACTGAGTTTCTGGAAAGTCGACTATGACCTTCAGTTATCCCCATATTGCCAAATATTGCCATCCAGGCCAAGCAATTCCTATCAAAATCTCAGAAAGGAAATTATTAATCTAGAATTCTGTACCTCAGATATATAGAGGGAAATCATTATCCCTAGATGTGCAGTGAATAAATTAAAGGAAATATTAAAGCCACCTGCTGATTTGACTTTTTTTGTACTGGTGTGTGTGGGGGTGTTGGTATTGGGGCTTAACCTCAGGGTCTCACTCTTGCTAGGCAGGTGCTCTACCACTTAAGCCATGCCCCCAACCCTTTTTTGTTTCAGTTATTTTTTGGATAGGGTCTGGCATTTTTCTGCCCAGACTGTCCTTGCACTGTGATCCTCCTCCTTAAGCTTCCTGCATATCTGGGATTACAGGTGTGCACAACTACCCCAACTTATACCACCACACCCAGTTTAATTGTTGAAATGGGGTCTCACTTTTTCTCCCTGGTTGGCAATGAATGGCTATTCTCCTGATATCTGTCCCCAAGTACCTGGGATTATAGAGCTGTACCCTCAAGCCTGGCCCTGGAGTGGCTTTCTGTGAGCAGACAGTTCAATGGCTGTTGGGGAAAGTTGCTGATATGTCTGCTGTGGATTCTGAATGTGGTGATCCCTCTGGGATTCACCCAAGTGGCATCCACGTCTGTCTACATATCAGTCCAAGTTCACTGCAGACTACTGTCAACACACTGGCCCCACAACTACCCTGCCTCATGCTAGCCTCACCTAGCTGAGTCTGCCTCATACTGCCTCTATGCTTTGTATATGTGGTCTCCTTGCTTGGAACATCTTCTTTCTTAGTCTTTCAAGTTCTTCAAGTCTCAATAAAGACTCTGCCTTCTGGAGGAAGTCCCCTTTGATCACTCCAGGTCACAATCTCTAATTCCCATCCCTGCAGCTCCCACTCAGGGACTCCTATTAAAACAAGTCTTTTTTCACATGTGTTCTGTCTCTCCACCAACCCACTCAGGTGCTTGACCAGAAGGACCAAAATTATTGGCTCCATCTCATAAGAACTCTTCCAGATGACATGACATGGCTCTACTTAGCATGTGGCTGTGTTTTCACAATGCACCACACAGGCCTGGAGCCCCATCTCCCCCTGATGTGCTGTGGAGCTTACCCAGAGAGGCTGCATGTAAAAGGCAGTTCCCATCCCCTGTTGTGGCCAAAGGAAGAAGCCGCTTGCAGCTCGTGCACACAGTGGACCACCAGTTCAGGCGACCTGGAACAGAGGATCACTTTAGAATAGAAGCCCAGCAAAGGCAGGGACCAGGTGTGTGTCTGCTTAGTAATCACAAGCATCAGTGCATCCCCAGGAGAAGGCAGAGCATTATGACTACTTTTTCTCAAATAAAATGAAGAGCAAAAGCTCTGCTTAAGCTTTCTAAAAAGTAGCTGATGGTAGAAGCAAAAATTTTAATGTTGTATGTCTCATAGAGTAAATATTTAAGACAATCATGTTATGAACAATGGAAAATAAAGGATCGAAAAGGCATGTCAGACTTACGTGCTTCACTAAGAGTGCTTAAATGTCAACACCAGTGTGCTTTGATAAGGTGTCTGTATATAATAGAATAGAATGTATGTATATAATATAATACAATGATAAATACCCTTAAATAACTCAAAAGGGTACAAGAGAAAGGGGAAAAATATAAATACTAACACAGTCACAACAAATGAATGACAAGATAACAGATTTAGGTTTAAGCCAGGAAGATATATCGATACTCATATCAAGTGTGAATGAAGTAAACACTCCAATTGCAAGGAAAAGCATTTCAGTTACGCAGGAGTACGTTCTGGAGATCTAGTGCACAGCCTGGTGCCCATTAGTTAAACCATATTGGACACTTGAAATTTGCTAAGAGAGTAGATCTTCCATCTTCTCACTTACATACCAAAAAATAGTAACAATGTGAAAGGACATGCTAACTAGCTTAATTGTGGTAGTCATTTCACAGTGTATATGTGTATAAACTTTTATACTATTACCTGCACACCACAAATATGTACAGTTAGCCTGCTACAGGTTGATGCACACTGCATGAAGACATGAGACTCTTGTGTTAGAGACAAAGGATGCCATTACTTGCAACACAACAACAACACAACACAAGCATCATATTGTTTATGTTCATTCTCTTCCTTCCCCAAACATCACAGAGGTGCTGTGAAAGCTGGCACAGGTGGACAGAAGGCAGGTTCATGCTTAAGGAACCCCAAACTTATTAAACCCTAAACCTTTATAGTGGCTACAGGCAAATCTGCCTAACTTCTATCTTGGAGGGAGACATTTTATTTCCTTTGGTGGACAGTGAACAAATGTTCCATCTGTCACAGAGAAGATGGCATCTCTTTCTGAGAGCATAAGAGCTCATTATACTCTGTGGGCCCTGCTGATGGTGGTTCCAGCTCTATTGCACTTTCCAAAGCTTTCTGATGAGGGTTTTAGCTACTCACCCTGTGTTCATCAAAGGGCCTCAGGAAAAAAGCCAGGAAAAGCTTTTCACAGATAATACCAGGTGCATGCCTGGAGTCTCCCAAGTTTTGTTAAGCATGTCCCTCTACCTAGATTTTATAGCCCCCTCCCCAGGGTTAAGGCAGCTGCAGATGCAGGCTTACCCTACGTTGAGTTTCTTAGCCCCTTTAATTCTCTGTACCTCAGCAGCATTTAGCTGTTCTTTGTAAGGAGACTTCTCTATTTCTCCCTTTTCTCACTGGGGCAGGCAGACAGGTAGATTTGTTATTAGGTCCTCATTTAACGTGGAGGTAGCTGATTGTCAATGCATTATTTTTGGATATTAATTCAACATGTAACATTTGTAATAAGTCCAACTTGTTGTAATGCATTGATGGGTTCAATTTGCTAAATACTTCATTTGTAATTGTTGTCATGATTATTCCTGAGAGAGACTCATAAGCCCATCACTGTCAAATGGACATGACATATCCATGCAGGCTTGGTCCCCACAGCATCTTGGAATTATGTGAAAAAGTGGCAACTAAGGCTTTTTGGGGAGACTTTATCCCCACACTGCTGCCCAACATGGAACTGCTGACTCTGTGGGGCTCTCTATACACAGAGTCCTCTACATGCTAGACATGATTCATTGATGCCTTTGTGAAACTGCAAACCGGTGGTGTCCACTGGGCTGTGGTGACTGTTTAGCTCTAGGCCAGCTCTGAAGGTGAACCTGCACAGGACTCAAAGCTGCTCTTATAACTCTGGCCAACCCTCTTGATGGGGCTTGTTACATGTTTACTGATCCTCAGGCTATTGTCAATGACCTAGCAATTTAGTCTGCCACTTGGAAAACTACAGACTGGTAGATTAAAGATGTCCTCCTTTGGGCCCGTGAGCTGGGACAGAAAATTGCAGCTGCTGATCCAAATGTCTGGGTCACTTGTGTTAATGAGACTGACCAGCCTCCAGTAGCTTGTAGAGTCTACACCTCCCAGATGCCTCTACTGCTGCCTAGACCTCTAAATCCTGCACACGGCAGCACTCTACTATCATGGAGGGGGTAGAGAGTAAAGGGGTCCAGGGCCTGATGCAGAGGTTGTCACTGCATGCCACATGTGTTGAACACTGCCTCATAGTGGAGGAGGACACATCTCAAGGACTCTTGAGATGCTGCTCCTTTTTCTTCCTGGCAGACAGACTGTCAGGGCTGTTGGCACTGCCTCACTTTTGCTGAAACTTTCTCAGGCAACAGAGCTGTAGTTCTGGTCCAATTAGCCAACACTGGCTACATCATTATAACACTTAAAATGAATCCCTGCCGTGTTTTTGGCTTCCTAGACCATCTTCAGGCTGACAACCATATGCCTTTTATTAAAGAGCCACTCATGGGGCTGATAGTGGAGATCTTCAGTGGTGTTTCCACATTCTCTAAGATCTATGTGTACCTGATATGATTGAGTGTTGGGTGGCCTTCTAAAAATTAGCTGCAAAAACAAGTTCTGACTGTAGATACAACCTTGCTGTTGATAAACCACCCAGACTAAGGCATTTAGTTATCTCAGCCTGGATGGACTAAGACACTGACCATACCTCCTTCATCTCTTCCTAATATATACCAGTCTTAATCAGCTTGTACTCTATAGGTATAGCTGCTACAGACTGGGCAGTTCAAATAACAGACATATATTTCTCAGAGTTCTAGAAAAAATGCCAAATATATTGAAAAGGTGAATAGTCAATATAATCTTGAACAAAGTCAGAGCACCTAAGTCATTGATTTCATAACTTGTTATAATGTGATAGCAATCAAGACATTGTAGTGTTGGTGTAAAAAAGACAAATCAATTATAGAGACCAGAACAGACCCACAATTATGGCCAAGTGGTTTTCCAAAAGGTTCCAAGGGCTTGCAATGGAGAAATGAAACTATTTTTTCAAGAAATAGTGCTAGATAAAGGAAATGCAAATTAAAACCACACTAAGATTCCACCTCACCCCTGTTAGAATAGCCATCATTAGCAACACCACTAACAACAGGTGTTGGCGAGGATGCAGGGAAAAAGGAACCCTCTTACACTGCTGGTGGGAATGTAAACTAGTACAATCACTCTGGAAAAAAATTTGGAGGCTACTTAAAAATCTAAACATTGATCTACCATATGATCCAGCAATACCACTCTTGGGGATATACCCAAAAGACTGTGACACAGCTTACTCCAGAGGCACCTGCACACCCATGTTTATTGCAGCACTATTCACAATAGCCAAGTTATGGAAACAGCCAAGATGCCCCACCACTGATGAATGGATTAAGAAAATGTGGTATCTATACACAGTGGAATTTTATGCAGCCATGAAGAAGAACGAAATGTTATCATTCGCTGGTAAATGGATGGAATTGGAGAACATCATTCTGAGTGAGGTTAGCCTGGCCCAAAAGACCAAAAATTGTATGTTCTCCCTCATATGTGGACATTAGATCAAGGGCAAACACAACAAGGGGATTGGACTTTCATCACATGGTAAAGCGAGAGCACACAAGGGAGATATGAGGATAGGTAAGACACCTAAAAAACTAGATAGCATGTTGCCCTCAACCCAGAGAAACTAAAGCAGATACTTTAAAGCATGTGAGGCCAATAGGAGAAGGGGACCAGGAACTAGAGAAAAGGTTAGATCACAAAGAATTAACCTAGGAGGTAACACACACACACAGGAAATTAATGCATGCCAACTCCCTGTATAGCTATCCTTATCTCAACTAGCAAAAACCCTTGTTCCTTCCTATTACTGCTTATACTCTCTCTTCAACAAAATTAGAGATAAGGGCAAAATAGTTTCTGCCGGGTAGCGAGGGGGTTGGGGGGAGAAGGAGGGGGCACGGGCGTAAGGGAGGGGTGAGGGAAGGGAGGAGAAATGACCCAAACATTGTATGCACATAAGAATAAAATAAAAATTAAAAAAAAAGAAATGGTGCTAGAATTAATGGATGAATGGAGAAGACCTACAATACCTACTTTGTGTCATAAACACAAATTAATTTGAGCTGAATCATAGACATACATGTAAAAATGAAACTAAACTTACAAATATTCACAGACCTAAACAGAACAGTATACAGTGTCTACAGGAGTAGAGTATTATTGGGATAGGCACAAAAATTACTGCATTTGACTTCATCAGAGTAAAAAATAATTCTGTCCATTCAAAGACAGCATTATAAAATGAAAAGATAAGCTCAGAATGGGAGAACGTACTCACGAGATGTGAAAGGACTTAGAGCTGGCTATACTGGAAACTCCTACAAATCCATAACAATCAGACAACTAAGCTAATAAAAATAGGCAAAACACTTAAAAAAAGATATTTCACTACAAAGGAATTACAGATGTCCAAAAAGACATGATTAGGTGATCAATGTTAATAGTCATCAAAGTAATGCAAATTTAAACCACAAGCAGTAATCACTTCACACCCACTAGAGCAATAAACTCAAAAAGACTGGCAATGGTAGATGCCAGGGATATATGACAACTAGAACATTCATATTTTGCTGTTGGGAAAGGAGAATGGCACAATGATTTTGGAAAATCTTTTGGCAATTTCTACTGAGGTTAAACATACATATACTACATGACCCAGAAATTCCATTCTTGGGTATTTACCCAAGAGAAATGAAAACAGAAGACTTGTCCAAGCATATTCATAGCAGCCTTATCTGTCAGTAAAGCCAGTTGCTAACAAACCTGAGATTG